TTATAACGATAACCATTCGTTTAATAACCGTAATAAGATTTTTAAACGACAAAATTGTATACGCAAAACACTGTCGTCCTTCACTAGCCAAAAAGTGCGTGAGAAAGACATGTTCTGAAGATGTTTCCGAACTGGCGGGTACAAGTAGGATTTCCCCCGAGCCTCATTTTTATTTCTTACGAAAAGGAGCAAGAAACTTGCTTCCACCAAGCTCTAATCGCTACCACAGACCTCGACTACGTACCAGCCGTCTTTTCCGAATTTATTGTCAGAGTGTAATATTCACGAGGATATGAGGTATGAACCGTGTTAACCTCAATAAATCAATAAAAATATTGCTGCGGCTTTAACTAGGAGAGGTTTTCACTTCTGTTGATCGGGGGGGAGGGGATGAACAGAAGTGAAATTTTACGTGCCCGTGACGTCCACGGAGGTGGGGATGATGCATGGCAATGCTAAGGTCATTAGTTCCGTAAGTATTTGATCGCAGGAGATGGTGATGCTATTTCTCCGCTGGATGACGAGATCCGGGGCCAATCTACGTCGGCTTGGGGTTTTTCCCCAACCAAGTATCTCCCATCAGCGTGGCACAGCCCTAGCCGGGACAATCTCTAAACTCCCTAAAGGTCTCCCGACATGTGCGGTATTGTAGTTATATGAACGTAAATGTTTGTAAGTAAAGGATGAGCAAAGAACGAGGAAGAGACAGGAAAGATCACACGCGATCAGTGGCCCATTTGTTAGTGCACTGCTCCGGCATTCGCCTGGTGATGATCGGGTAAACCACTAAAAACTACCGATCGAAGTCTACGGCCCCTACGGCTACCTTCTCCTCCAGACAGCGACTGAATTCGATCTAACTAGTGTCGAAAATTCTTACATCGTCGGGTCTCGATCCTTAGGACCTACCGGTCAGATGCACTGCAGTCATCAATTGATGGCAAGAGCCAACCTTTGCCGGTCCCCACATTTGGGGCTAAAGAGGCGCTTTTAACAATTTTATGCGTTTTTAGGAACAAAACCGAGTAATACCTCGCTACCAGCACCACTCTTAAACATTTTGAAACGGCACTTTCGTTTAATTATCCCTGACACGTGTCCAAAATTAGAGCTCAAAAACACTGCTCGGGTTACGTATCTCTCTCTCTTTCTCTCTCACGCACACACTGGTAAAATACACATTTTTATATAGGGAATCCTCAAATCCTATATATCTATATCTTATTTAGTTCTCCTCAACACGGTGCAATAAACCCTCGTTACTATATTTCCTTGCCGGCAACCCAAATTTGTTCGTGTTAGGACGAAATTAAATGATATGGTGTTAACGAGGGTTTACTGTATTTAGTTCTCCCCAAAATATTGCGCCCTGGGTCCCAATTTGACTCATCAGCACTTCTGGATACTAACCGATTGCACGATTCTTGAGTTGTGTTCTTCGTGTACAGTTAAACCTCCTGACAGGTTTCAAAGGCATCCAGGGGTTCGTGCAGAAGAAGCACTACGTTATCGAAGTGTCTGCACCCAAAAAGACGACTCGATGGAAACCATGATCCGCTTATGAGCTTGTGTGACACGGGAATGTATGGAATGATTCTGAATAAAAGAAACCAAATTGTCACCATTCACAGGAATGTTTGCTTTTATTATATTTGAGATAAAATATATATTAATTTCTGTGATGTGACGTAATTGAATGTATGTATAGATTTGACATTTTAGGGTCGGATTAATCCGACTTCTGAAAGGTTCGGCTCTGTTTTTATTTATTATACACGTCTACACGCCTAGTAGTAAGGGAGACATGTGGTGAACATGAAGTACACCCTCCACTGTATCTAGCACACTTCGCCTGTCTGAGCTTTTCTTTCACAGTTATAGAATCCAAGGCGATTGTAGTGGAAAACTACAGCTCTATTTTGGCCCCGATCGAGAATCGAACCAGGATTGCACCATGCATGAGCTGCCCAAGAGGCAAATGAAATTATATGGTACTATAAATGAGGTGCAGGTTATTACAAAATTCAAGATAATACCTTAAATTCTATCATACATCAATGTTACTTTATAATGAGTTATTGGGCGATATCACAATGTTTCGAAATGTTCTTTGGCATCTCGCGTTAGAAGACCTCAGTGCCTTCGTTTCAAATGTCGGTACAGTCTACTTTACGACATTTCTTCAAGTTTCTGAAATGATGCACGAACATATCCTTCAGGAAAAAGTTTGAGTTGCTCGCTGTCCATTTAAAACTTAATGTTGCACGAAGAGTGTAATATGAGAGTTTTCGAGAAGTGTCTGCATGCTTCAGAGCTTACACATTACGCCAGAGAAGTAGAGCATTGACGGCTGCCGAATGGGAGAATGTAACAAAACTGGAGTTTGATGTTCCATAACAGAAATTAAATTTTCCATCGTAAGCCGTTCAAAAGAATGTCACGATACGGAAATTGACTTAACGCAGTTTGAAATTTTCCACAATAAGCACCATGTATTTATGACATTCCGGAATTAAAATAAAATTACGGATAGATATCGTTTTTGTGCAACTTATTGTCGAACCTAACATAATTAGAATTCGTTCAACACGCAATATCTGACATATTTTATTCTAACCCAGAGGAGTGCTTTCCGAAGTGTCTATCAACGCTTCATATCTTTCATTGCTACTTTTGCGCGGACACGGTCACTTAGAAAGACAACAAGAGGATCCGTAATACACATGAAACACCTTTTAAGTGTTTTTTTTTATATATCTACCCGAGATGCTATCTACTATTCAATATTATTAAATTATTGCCTCTCCAAACTCCCTAGTTAGTACATGCTATGTGCGTATCCTTGATTAGGACGTTCATTATGTGAAGTGTTCACTACTCCTAATTTTTTTTCATCCTATATCTTTTCATAGCTTCAGGGGCTGCCGACTTTTGACTCTCCGCGCCGGGTCCACTACGTTCCTCATGGAGACACGTATTAGCCTTTACTCTAGACACCGACCCACTCGCGGGCTCCACGGTCTGTGGTCAGCAGACTCGCAAGGCCTCCGACAACACACATACAGGGAAGACACAAACGGCCAAGGCGGGACAGGAACTCGCGACCCTTGCGACCAGGCGCTGGGTGGGCACAGGCTCCGGCCACCTCGTCATTTCACGATCGTTTACACTATTTTGAAAAGCTGTTATTCATTTTAGTGATGCAATAGCTAAAATTTAAACTATGAAAAAGCATTGTGCTTAAACAATACACAATTTTATGCCTTTCCTCGGTTGAGCATCCTTTACAAGATTAAAACATTCTTCGCGTTAAAAGGATACTTTATTTATTTATTAATTTATTTACTTATTTATTTATTTTTAAACACTTGACACGTTCAACAAAGGTTAGTTCCCTGTACTAAAATATCAGACGTTGATTCGCATAAGTAATAACAAACTTTCTTTTGACTTTAATGAATAAATAATTCGAAGCGGTCCTGCGAAATGCATTCCTTTTTTCTGTAAAACATTTAGATTACTTCAATACATTCATTGGTTAAGAGACATTTACTTCCTTTGGAAGTTATCTATCGGAATCTGGATACTTCAGGTGGCAACATTGTTCGTTGTATTACACGCGAGATGTGCTGATCGTTCGTCTGCTGAAAGTGGCCTGCGAGTTCAATTTCGGCTAAGAAGAACATGCGTTGCGGGATGCATCTGTTCACCCTGCATGAGCAGGTGTCTTCAACAGGCATCTTAACCACAGCTCTTAAGCTTATTTTCGTTCGTAGCCTGTAGCATTTACGCTCAACAACACTTTTTTCTCAATTCGTACGCGGTCTCATAATCTTCTTATGATCATCACATTTTACATCACCAACTCATTCTTTTTCCCATCCCTCGCTCCATCGATAAAAATAACGAAAAAATAATGTCTACTTAATAAAAGTACATATAAAGAAATTGATTTTTTGCTGCAATAAAAAAAAAAAAACGAGGAAAATTTCCATAATACCACGATTTCAAAAGTCGTAACTCCTAACTAATCTCATTTTCTTTTCGCGCAATCCCCCAGCCTACATGTACAGTAAAGTTGTGAAGCGTTTCGCCGGCCGTGTTGTCAGTAAACAGCGGCGGATCCAGCCATTGGAGATTTTTGTTAAATAATAAACGTATTTGTTATTATATTGAATATTATTTATGCACTGTAGATGTGATACTAAACAATATTGTTTAAATAATTACACAATTCTAACATACATATTTAAATCAATTTTTCCAAATAAAGGAAGGTAAACGAAAACACTAGCCCTCCTGGTGGTGGCGTGGCCCCCATGCCTAGATCCGCCAGTGTCAATAAAGCACCCCTTATATATTTTTCTATAGTGGCCGATGACGTTAGGTCATCTCCTGTCTTATAAAATGAATCTTTTTAATATTTCTGAGGTCACGAGGCCCGGTAAGTAGGACGTTCAGGAATTAATTACAAATATTCATTTTATGAGGTGTAACAATGACCTAATGTCATCGGCCCCTACAGGAAAATCCACGTATAACCCCATCGAATTCCACCAGCCTCGCAATCTATTGTATCGCGTGTCACCGCTCGGACCTGCTATTCGCCGCGCACTTCGCGGGCCCCCGGCACGCCTCGAACGGGCGCGGTGGCCCGCACCTGGCGGCCCCCCCAATTTACATACGAGCGGCGGCGCGCCACCCGAGGAGCCCGTCCGCTCGCTCGCGCCTCCGCGCTCGGCGGTAGCAGCAGCAGCAGCAGCAGCAGGAGCTTCGCGCGGCGCGGCGCTCGCGCCGGCGCACCACCGCACCGGAGCGGCAACGCCGCACGCCGCCGCCGCCATCTTGTAGCGGTTTCCCCGCTCGCGCGGCGCCCCTCCCCCTGCGCGCCCCGGCCGCTCCCCCACCAGCGCCGCCCGCCAGGGCGAGTCCATTGTGGGCGCCGCGGTCGGGCAACGGTGGCGGCGGCGGTGGCTGAGAGCGCTGCAGCGGCGAGAGGCCTAGTGCCAGCCGAGAACTTTCGCGAGGTGTCCGGGCGGGTCGCGGACGCTCCGGAGACCCGACAGCGCCAGCCGAACCGCGAGGGAGCTGAGTGGCGACGCCTCCGCCGGCCTGCCGCGGCGGCTGAGGGAGCCGCTTCGCGAGCCGACTCCTCTCTCGGCGTATCGACCGCGCGCGCGCGCGAGAGAGAGGGAGCGACCTGCCTGCCCGCCGGACCTCTGCCTCTGCGCGCCCCGCTCCATATTTTTCGTACTGGTCGGCGCGGCGGAGGGGGCGAGGGGGAGTGAGAGAGGGGAGGGCGACGGAGGGGAGCGCCGCGCTGACGTCAGAGGCGCGTGCGGACAGGGGCGCCGCCGCCGTCGTCGTCGTCGCTGCCGCCGCCAGCGTTGTGTTGTGCGCCGTACGTGTGCCGCGGCGAGCGGACGCTGCGTGTGAGTGTGTGCCGACGAGTGTCGTGCGGAGTGCGAGTGTGTGAACGCGGCGTCGCAGCCGCTGCCATCGCAAGCCACTTCGCCTGACGGGCCGCGGGAGCGGAGCGGCCCGGGGGCCCCGAGTGCGTGCGTGTGAGAGAGGCAGCCGCAACAGCGTCGGCGCCGGCGATCGTGGACGCGGTGGCACGCCGCGCCCGCGCCCGAGCCCCGCGACCCGCTCAGCAGCCAGCACCTGCCGCACGCCCCGAGCGCCACGACGACCGCTCAGGTGTTCGCGGCCGCCGCGATGGAGCTGCCCATGGGCGACCGAGTGTACGCCGCGGAGCGGATCATGAAGAAACGCGTGAGGCGGGTGAGTGGGTGAGCGAGCGAACACGCACGCGCGCGTTGCCGCCGACGCTGTCACGCCGCCGCTCCCGCTGACGCAATGTTTACACTGCTGTCAGCGGTCGCGCGCGCGCGTTCGAGTCCCGACGGCGGCGGCAGGCGCGACCGACCCGCGCCTGCCTCGGCGGCGTGACCTACACCAGCCGCCCCAAATTCTCTCTCTCTCGGGCGCCTGACACACTTTGTCTCCTCCGACATGGAGTGTGGTTGCCTCGCCTTCGTTTTCACCCCACGGGAAACTGGTCCGGCGAGACGAGGCCCGCCCGCGCGCGAGCTCCCTCGCGTCTCGTTCGCGGAGAGGGCGAGCGAGCGCGCGCCTTTTGGTCCTGACGCTTCGCATGGGCGTCTTGACGACACTGTGCCCGCATGCGTTGACCGCCCCCTGCTGTATTAATCACCTCCGCGTTCCACATAGCATGTGGAAAATGTTAAAACGCATTATCGATAGGGCGAGCGTACTAGGTATTTACAAAAACAATGATTGTCCATCTCGCTCGCTCGTTTAATATTGTGTTTTGAATGTCTCGCTATCACACTTTTTAATTGACTCGCATTTATTATGTCTCTATTTGTTTGCAGGGCCGAGTGGAGTATTTCGTGAAATGGAAAGGATGGAGTCAAAAGTGAGTATTGCTCCCCTGATGTTACGCAAATCCTTTTATATGATAATGTTACTCGGAAACGTCTGTTATGACAGCAGCTAATCGCAGAGATTTAGTGCCGTGTAAACACTCGTGAAAACATTAACATGCTGTCATGATATTTTCATTTAAATATCGTGTGCTACGTCTCAGGCGCGCAAGCGTGGTACGGCTATAAAGTGGTAATAAGTGTAAACAAGGTGTCCACGTTGTCACTCAGTGTATTATGTGAAATAGATCCGTGCCTGAATTTTCATCGCAGTGGTGCAGCAAAGTTGCGTTTCTTGCACCATTCCCCAGAACTAATCTACACAGGGCAAAGAAAAGCTTTGGAATCGAACCATAGACGAAAGATATTTGTCTTACTCGTATGATTGGACGTGCGCGTTTAAGAAAGACAGCCATAAACCACCATAAACGGCATACGACGTTAAATCTGTCACCACATCATTGTTCCCCAGCAACAAATTGACAACCGGAGTAAGCTAGCTTAGCTGCTATGGGCAAGCCTGACTCGCACCAGTTGCTAATCTGCCGTCGCCAATAATTGCTTCAATATGCGCACAAAGGGGAAACCAATGCGGCGGCAACATTATTTACAACCGTCACGGGGCAGATTTGGATAGCATCGCTTGCCTTGTAATGAGCTGCTGAAGACACTAACAATGCGATGACTAGAGGAAAGCTTTTCTTTGAAATTATCATTGTCCAATAATTCTCATAAATATAGTTTTTAGAAAGGATCTGTGCTAATAATTTCATCAGATTCTGACAACCCCTTTTCCTTTCACGTTAAAGGACATCGTTAATTCTGCCGCATTCCTCCTTTAACAGCCCTCTTAGCCGTGTCATAAGGCGTACCTAATCCTACCCATTCTCTCCTTAGCGCAATATTTTTGGTTTAGGCCCCTTACTCGAGAGCCGAGTTTTACAGCCCTTTCAGCCGCGCCAGGTACCGTCCCCTCAGCCTTCCTTTTGTTGATGCAATGCTGACGTTTGTTTCGTGTGCAGGCACAGCACGTGGGAGCCGGAGGAGAACATTCTGGATCGGAGACTCATCGACAGTTTCGAGCAGACCCAACGTGGAGATCTGCCCCACAAGCGGCCGGGGCGCAAGAGGGAACCACGCTACACCGCGAGAGAGGTCAGTTCTGGCGCCGCCGTTTGTTTACATCGGCGCTCTCTCGGTTGAGAGCGCGCCACTCGTCTCTCTCCCTCCTTCGACGTCCGCGAGGGGCGCTAATGGTCGGAGAGAAGCACTATTGCCGGATGCCCTGAATTTTGTATTAAAAAAAAACTCAAAATTTTTCATCGAACCCCAATTTGCGTCAAGCGTTACGGGTCGACAAAAAAAAAAGTTCGGCACCACCCATTTAAAATAAATTTCAGATTGCATTCCTCAACGTCCGTAAGACGACCAACAACAGAAACATTGAGGTTACCAAATTTTTCTATTATCAATGATGTCAAAGGAAAATAATTTGGGAAAAGTCGGGCGGAATTCCATAATCCTGTGACCAACATGCTTTCTGCGCAAAAAATACTTTAAAAAATATGACTAATTAATGGTTTGAATTTCTCTTAATGCAGTAAAATTCAATTGCTGGCATAATTGTCAATTATGTTATTGTTTAGAAAAATTAATCTCTTTTTCATTTGTGAGAACAATCATCACGATTTTTCTCACATTGAAATTAAGGTTGAGGCTGCTGATCATTAACCTTCCCAATGGAATAACATCCTATATTTATAGATTTTCTGTTGGATGTATTCAAGATCCATGTACACACACCTATACTTGGATGTCTTTATGCACCCATTTTTGTTAATGTGAATATTAACCACCTAATACAAAATTAGTCACATTCAGACATTGCCATAACACATGCACATCAATTGGATTCATTAGAGATTGATGATATCATATTTAACCTTTTAAAAATAGCAAACATCCAATATGAAAGTTTTTCATTACCAAATTAAACATTTTAAAGAGTAGCATAGCATTTCTAGTTGCTAAATCAGTATTAAATCATGTTATTTCACATGGTACAACACAAAAAATGTCAGCTATTCAGCTTCAAGTTTTGTTTAAGTGAATTGTATACTCATATTTTTTAAAGTTTCACATTAGGTCAAGTAAATATACCAGATATATTCAATTTGTAAAAGTATTTCACACAGCAGTTTTCAATCAATTTTAGGTTATGTAGTTTTTCATTTGTGACAGTTATGAATTACAAAATAGATAACAGTTTGAAAGAACATTTCCAATAAACAAGAAAAAGAGAGCAAACTGAGAAAACTTCCTTGCTTTTGTTGTTGTTGTTGTTGTTGTTGATGATGATGATGAGGGGGAAAAAGTGATTTTGGTAGAAATATATCTGACCATGCCAAAAGATTTTCACCAAAGGATTCTGAGCATAAAAGATCAATTTCCCTATTATTCATTATAAATGTTGAGTTGTATTAGTGAATCAATGCAATTCTTGTATGCCGATACTTTATATGAATATTATTAATATTTAGCAGGGTTGCATGCTATTTTGTTGCTTTTTTGCATTCTCTGGGCCAAGTTTCAAAAACAAACAAACACGAATGGAAGCAAATTACCTTTTTCCTTCTTGAAGAATACTTTTTGAAAGCCCTCGACAAATGGGGAATTATTGATGTGAATCAATAGTTAATTCTTTTAGTCTCAGTAAGTTTACACTATGAAGTGTAAGTTATAGGCACATTACATCTACTCACTGTAAGTTTTGGTTTAAATTTTCTTTTTGAATTCTGGGATAACAAAAAAGTAAGTTACAAATGATGTTACTATCAGAAGACTTACAGCAATTTTGTATATTTCTTAAATACCAACGCTACAGAAAATTTCCTGTTGATGGTATTTCCATTCAATTTTTACAACATTCATCACAAACAATTTACTGTTATTTACTAATAAAGAGAAAAAGTTCTAGGAGGAGGTTATACAAATAGATGTAAGTTACATGGATTTCAGGAAAGCGTTTGATAAAAATGAGTTTTGAAGGATTTTCTGTGGAATGTTTGAGAAACAACACAGCTGGTAAGATTGATATTTTCAATCTTGTGAAATAATTTAACATCAGGAGTCCCACAAGGGTCTCACTCCAGACCGGTTTTGTTTATAATTTTCATAAATGACTTAATAAAGGTTTTTGAAAAGTATAAATATAACTTATAAATTCCAGAATATGTATTTGATGGGAGATGTCTTGATTGAAAAAATTTATCAAATTAAAGATTTAGGTGTAGTGATGGGTGCAAAAATGCTATTTTATGATAATTTTAATTATATAGTTAATGGAGTCTTTAAAACTATTTCATTTGATAAAAAGACAAACATCACACCTTAAACAACTTGATTCAATAGTTAATACTACTGTTCATCATTACATCAATTTAACAAGATATTGTAATGCATTTTTGAGTAATGAAGAAATAGGTATGAGTGAGGCGAGTTTTGTGAGATATTTGAAACAAAGAATATTAGATTTTAGATAAATAATTTTAATTATCACTAGTTATGTAACTTTATTAATTGCATTTAGTTTGTTTTGTTCTTGTTATCAATTTCCATATTGCTTTTTATATCAACTATGTGTTATCTATAATTTCTTTTTGGCAAATGAGCCTGTTGTATAAATAAGTAAATCATTTGTTATTGATAAATTCATTTTAAAGCAAATGTGACTGGACATATTTTTTTCTAAAAAGGTTTTCTTTTCATATCCATTCACAAAATTATTTTCAACATGAACTGTCATAGAAATGGCAATTATAATCTATAGTTTGTATCTAACTAATCAAATCTGCTTCTACTGAAAAAGTAATGTTTGGCATCCCATTGAACTGGTTTAAGATATGCGATCTCATGTGCTTCTCTTTGTGTTGCAGCCTGAGCCACGGCCTGAGCCTGTACCACCACCTCCAGACCCTCCTGCAAGCAGTGAACCGGAGGACACAACTCCCGAAGAGGCAGGTGGGACAGGAGGAGACAGCAGTCAGGACGAGGCCCCTGGAAGTGGGGCACCAACGCTTCCCACGCTAGAACCTGAAGAGGAACCTGTGCAGGACAGTCAAGGTAATTTTTTATTTGCCTTCTTACATTTTTATTTTTGTAATGCTTGATTGTTATATTGTCATAACACAACTAAACGGAGGAATGGAAATCTTATTGTTATTGTAGAATTTTAACAGGGCACCTTCTGTTGAAAATAATTCCAAGAATGGAGATATATCAAAAGATTTTGTATGACTGCTTGTATGTAAAGAAAATGAATTCCTTGTTTCTATGGATTTTTGTTATAAGGGTATGGCATTACAAAAAGTATTGAATGGTCATTTTAATTAATTACATACTCGATTATCACTTGAGTTTACAAACTATAAACACATCTGTTACTTGTTCAGTTATGAGCCACTAAAAACATTAACCCTTTTCGTGCCTATGTCCCACTGGGTAGGCCACAACATAATTTCCAGTTACCCACACTTTTCTTAGTATCAATCCTTTGTCCCTTGGTATGGACCAATCCTGTGTGGTTGTGTCATCTCACGATATCCACGTGATTTACTGGCTTATTTTTTTCCACTGGTTCACTGCCTTTAACTTGAAATATAGTATATTTTCTTAGTTTCTGCACAGATGTTACTAGATGCAAATAGCAATGGCATTGTTCTTAAAGCTTGTGCTTCTAACAGAGTGAAATAAATGAATTAAGATTTTATTACTGCCAGTAGTTATCTGGCTAAATTAGATTATGAAGATAATATTTTGTGTTTAACCCATAAACACCCAAATTAATTTTGTGCAGATGGTGCTCGCCCATTGCCATCAAGTCTCTGCGTGAATAGTCATTGTTGCAGCTTTCTGGTAGCATGTTTTTGCGACATTTAGCGCAAAACCAACTATGAAGATAATATTTTCTGTTTAAATTTATTTATTTTTACCCTTCATTATAACTTGCTGCTGTGCCTGCTTCAACCCCATTTAAGTGGAAAGTGCTATGATCCGCCTCGTCAGAAAATGTTTTTCACACTAACTACTTAACAAAACAGAATTGCTCACCAATGAAATTATTCATATTGTTTAACAAGCTTGATTTGTATAAATCTACGAGATAGTTCCACAGCCTATTTAGATTCCTGTAATGTATATAGCTACAAAAAATTTCATCACCCTACCTGCGTTGGTTTCGAAATTCTGTATACTGAGAAAGAGCAACAACTTCGAAATCAAAGGAGATTAAACTTAGTGCTTTTAATAGCATGTTTGTGCATTTAATACTTGTGTACAAATAATACTCATATTTAAACTATACCCCATCATTCACTTCTATATTTCATCAAATTCAAGCATTTTCTCTAAAATTGTAACATAATTTTTAACGTGTCAAGGTTCCCGTTAACTGAAATACTCGTGTAACATACATATGTAAAAATGTGTCACTAAAACATGTATTAAATCATCAATTATGTTACAAATGTAAGCATTTTTCAGCAATTGCTACTGGCAACTCACAAATCATATCAACTGCTGTTCTATTTCTTTTGCAAGTTGTAAATCTTACATAATAATTAAGACTACATAAATTTCTTGTTATTTGTTATGACAGAAATTTGACAGTAGAAACACCACAAAATATTGTTCAATGACATTTCCCCTTTGGTAGTTATTCTGTAATTTAATTTTTTTGAATGCGATAACAATCACCTGACAATAATGTGGATGAAGGAAACTGTACGAAGATGATCAAACTATTTAAATATTCTGATTTTTCTTTTTCTTTTTTTTAATACTTATTTAGAAAAAGTATCATGAAGATTTCTATTGCACTGTTCTTTATTTTTTAAGTACAGCAAACAGGTTAAATGGTTACAATTTCTTTTATTTTAAACACTCATCAATTTTTATGGATACTAGAGCATTTCTTTCAAATAGTTAGTTTAATGGTAAATCCTTTCTTTTGTTTACAGAATCAGGAGATGGCTCCAGGTCTACACCACCACCTCCTAATTTGGCTCTCCCAGCAGATGTCGGAGATACAGAAACAAGTAGCAGCAGTGAAGATAGGCCTGTATTAACGAGGCGGGAACCCATTGGTACAAAACGCAAGGCAGAAGTTCTTTCTAAAGAATCAGGCAAAATTGGAGTAACTATTACAACAAGTGGAACCAATGCCAACAGTGGACCTCCTTCAAAAGTGCCCCGACTCATATCTGTTAAGAGTCCAGGATCTCCACCTTACTCAGTAAGTTATTGAACACTAAAATTTTGTACTGCAAATTCTGAAATTACAAAAGAGGTGCAAAATCGTTTTAAGAGTAAAATGTACAGGAAGAATGACATCTAGGATCTCTAACATCTAATTTTGACTTTTAGGGCTTATTGTTTTACAGTAAAACCTATCCAAGTCGGAATAGTTTGGGTCCTACATTTTCTTCTGTCTTTTTTTCGGTTTATTCTGCTTTCAATAAAAACTGTCAATTCAGAAAATGCAATCATTCAAAGATGGAATAGGTTGTATGAGGAATTTATCTCTCCTAAAAACTTTATTTCAAAGAACGAGGCCGTCCCAGGAGACACAAAGAAAATAACATACAGAAACGCAACACTCTGTTGTATGAAAAATTCCTTCCCAAGTTAGGTAGGTTTCCGACTTATCCAGTGTAATTTGCATCGGAAAACGTGTGTTTTGAGATTTCCTTCTGGCATAGGCAGAATTCCGCCTTTTCCATCTTTTACTGTATTCATTTTAATAATCATATGTTGATATGAATTCTAACTACTGACGGAATTTTGTGAATACTGACCGAATGACTAGAAGTAGTGACGTTAGCTCTTATCCTCTCTAGGTAAAACATAAACGTATCTTGAAATGTTGCCTGTTGTTTGTTGCAATTACTGTCAGTATACTTTAAATGAACTCTTAGAAACATGTAAATGATTTTCCCTGTTGAAACTGATGTTTAATGAAATAAGCAGTGTGTACAGGATTTTATAATCTTCAAATTAATTTTTTTCTTCTATGCAAGTTGTCTTTTGAATTGCACAAAGATTGTCAGCACCTTTTTTACTTTTCTGTATACATACATATATACAGAGTAATATATGTAGTATATGGATAGTTATGTAATGATATGGAAAATCGATTTCAAGTTTTTAACGGTAATAGAGGTTTTGGGGCCCGATACCGAAAAAGTGTTGGTTTTTTTTCAAAACGTCCATCTGTCTGTCTGTCTATCTGGTTTCTGTGAACACTATTAGTGCCTAAACCATGCGTAAGAATTTTTCCAAATTGAAGAAACACCTGTCCATCTGGCTTGAGTCGAATCTTTGAGATTTTGAAAAAGATTCTTCAAAATTTGGGGGTATTTTACATGAAGCCCCCTTGGACATTTTAAAAATTTTCTCCAAATTTTTACTTTAAATTTCTTGTAAGAATAGAGTAATATACTCTAATAAAAGTGATATAGGTCCAATTTTCACTGTTAACTTTAAATTTTCAAAAATTTCAAAAGTATGAATTTTTTTCAGTATCTAAAACTACAAAATTGAAGATAGCAATTATTCTTTCAAATACAATTTGTTCTCCACAGTGAGTTCTTTCATTAAGGTCATGCACATTTTTTTGACAATTTTAGTAGTTTTTGCGCAATATTGCGTGCATTATGTGCAATTTAAAAAAGTCACAAAAACAAGACTTTCTCAAAAAGGATTCAAATTTCTCATTAAACTTTTTGTAGGGATAGTAATAATTCACTGTATCAGATGACATAAACACCATATTGCTCTAATCTTTGTAATTTTTGAAAAAAGAAAAGAAAAAGTTATTTTTTTGACTTGTCTCTTACATTGTTAATATTAACATTAGTGGTAATTTCTTTAGATTAATGTATCTACGTGCTTTAAATAATACGAGATAAAGTTTTTATGATTACCTTAAAGCCCAGTCCAATTTAATTCAGAATTTTTCAACACTGAATGGCCCCTTGGTTTTTCTGGGAAAATAAAACTTTCTATAAGAAATTACATCTATAAATACATTCTTTTAGAGGGAGTTTTCAATGACCATTGTTGAAACAGAATCAGTGTAAAATGACCCCTGAGCCTGATCTTTCTTGTTGCAGCCTCAACCAATTCCTGGCCGTAGGCCCTCAAGCAGTCAGCGACTTTCTCTAGACTCTATTCCAGCTTCTCCTTCAGGTGACAACTTAAGGGTGGGAGCTGCGTCACCACCTCATGTGACCCGAGCACCCAAGTCCCCCGTTGCATCTCCTCCTCCTGTTCTCTCACCAACCAGCCCTCGTGCAACAGTTGGTGAGAAACGCCCAGCTCACACCCCAGTGAGTGTACTTGCACAACAGGAGCAGGTATGTATTCTTCTAAAGGAGGTGATGTTTTATGGAGTTGAGTTAGAGCCAACTATTTTAACAGAATTCTAAGTGCGCAATTTGAAAAGACATTGTCCAGTCTTGTAATAATTAGATTTAATCCAAAGCTTAAACCAAATACAGAAGAATCATTCAGAGAAATGCCCTACCCAAGAGAAAAGAAGTCATAGTTATTGATAAGATAGTCAATAAATATGATAGGTTTTCACAGCTTTTCAAGAAAATTTTGAGTCTTCAATCTTTAAGTTCTATTGAATTTCTTGTAAACAGTCTTCTATTATTTTCTCCCTATGTAAAAACTGTAATGACATCCTACATTTTCATTGTAATCCCATCTTTTGTGACCAATTGTTTTTCCTCCAATATTCAAACACTAAAACTATCATAACAAAATTCCTTCTGAGATTTAGCTGATTAATATGATGAACTACAAAGCAAATTAAATTCAGAATCATCTTACTTTCAAACAATTTATGGACGCAATTAGTAATTCTAGACTGTTTCTGCTGTGCAACGTTTTAAAATAAATTATTTTGTACTTAATATGTTTTTATATTAATTTAAATTGTTCAGAAATCACAAAATTTGAAAAACAACTAATATTGAAATAAGAACCACCTAAATTTCTATCCAAGTGCTTTACCAAGTGTTTTAACATGTGCCTTGTAATTTCAGACAACAAGTGTAGCAGCAACAGCTCCTGTTGCAGCACGAGTTAGTGAGAAGCGAACATCCCAGAATGAAAACCAGGTTAATGCAGCGACAGTGTCTGTGGAGCAACAGCCTCGATCCCCCATGAAATCACCCCATCTTGATAATGTGGACACTGCAGCTGATGTGAAATGTCCAACCAATGCCCCTCCATGTATCATGCCTATGACAACATTGCCCAATGGCCTGAAAGTTCATTCCGGCAGTGCCATTGTCAACAACAACAACAACGTGATTGATTCTGCAATGCTGGATGAAGAGGAGGAGGAAGATGACGAGGGAGGTCCTCCACCCTGTCTTGGTGCTGCAATCCTGACAAATCCTGGGGCTGAATATTGGCATACTCGCAATCCAATGGCTGATCAGGTCTTCATTACAGATGTCACAGTTAACTTGAAGACTGTTACTATACGGGAGTGTAAAACTGAGAAAGGATTTTTTCGAAACAGAGACCAGTCAGAATCCAGTGACATAAAGTGAATTACGGCAACTAGGAAAGCAGAAGACTAAAACAGTGTTTTCAGCAATAAATTCACATGGAACCATCTCCATAATTCTTCCACCTCTAAAGGTAATTCTTCTGCAGAAATATTAATAATTAAGCATATTTACATGACACTAAACCAAGAACACTGATAGATCTCTGCTATTTTGATTCAGACTGCAACTGGTTGGTGCTGTTTTCAAAGACTGTTATTCTGATTACTGATGTATCTATGAATGTTCAACGCTGGAATAAAAATTGTAAACCAATTTTGTAGGCTGAATAAGTTTTCTAAAGACATTTTTGATAAGTGTGTACAAGATACATGAATTGAATTCACATTTTGAAGGATACAGATGCCTGATGGAGAGAGTTATTGGCAGTCAAGCAGATCTAACTAACAAACGGGTCTGGTTGTAGTACAAGTAGTTGAATTTCCTGTCCCTGTCCTATTTGTGGTTGGACAAAGGCAATGCATTTTTTTTCCACGTTCCAGAGTAGATACAGATGAGGCTGGATGTGTGAACACTTTCTCATGTTTCATTTCTTTTCATTTAGTCTCTGTCACAGGGTATAGTTTCAAAGCCAGTTCGATTTGGATAAGAAGAATATTGAGGTTCATATATCTGCCAGTACAACTCTTACTTCCACAAAAGAAAAGAATTGACGTAAATTCACTATTTTTCTTAGAGAGAGATTTGTGTGCTATTTCCAAGAACATTTGCATCAAAATGAGTGTGAAATGAAAGTTTGCTTATTTCCAAATATCTGGTATACTTGAACAAAATACCCCATTTTGCTAATTAGATTTCTTGCAGTAGATATACCTGCTTGTTCATTAGTGAATAAACAATTCACTCCTGCATTGCAGTGAGAGTGGAAGACTGCCTACATTAATTAATGTAACACTTTGTTAATTACAGTTACTGTTTAGACCAGTTACTTAAGTTCACAAATATATCTCGGTAACTGCAGAGCACGTTCCGCTTTGGTTTTGGGTATTCACTATGGTAGTTACAGCTTCTAGTTTGGTTCTCAGGAAACAAATGCACGAAGACCTGTTGCACTGTAAAACGTCAGTTAAAAGATGAATGAGTATTTGGTATGATTCATCTTAATTTAGAAAGTATCATTTACTGCGCATTTTACTTGTATATTTGAAAATCATTTTATTTATTATATTTAGTGCTCAAGGAGCTACATCTCATTCTTTTTTTTTTTAGTTGTAGAAAATGCTATTTATTTTCTCATTGGAAAGAAAAAAAAGGACAGATTATTCACTCAAACAGCAGCTGGTTAAACAAGTTCTTGTTTTTGTATATATGTAAAGAGACGACATCTGCAGTTGCTGGTATGTAAAGTAATGGCAATGATTTTGAGTACATAAATGTGTGTATATATTTGCTTAATGAACTTGTTACAGAAATGCTGTAAAATAAAAAAACTAGAGATTCAATTAGATGTGTTTTTTTACCCCCACCTCCAGTTCCCATCAAAGTGCAATTGAACTTTTAATGTTAAATTCTCAAACTATTATCATAGTGCAGGCTGTTCAAACTCAACTGCCCACAGTCACAATGCCTGGCTGCTGTTGTTTCCTGCCTGTGCTCGACAAAATCTAAGCTGTTGGGTTGCATGTCGCTTTATCAACTATTGCTGATAGTCACAGCAGAGAAAGGTTAGATTGAGGAGAAACATGCATACCTGGGCTCAGAAAGAAAAATTCCTTCAAATTTAAGAGGAACACCTGCAACTCTCTTCAATTTGAAAAAAATATTTTATTAATGTGAGATATGACATCTCTCTTAACAAGAGAAGCTTTACTGGTGTCAGTACTGAGTTGTTGGATGCTAGAACAATGTTTAATGTAGAGTCCTGAATTAGAGACCTACTCTTTTTATTACAGGGAAAAGGTGTTTACAATAATATGTTCACCCACATAGCACTGCTTTGAAGCTTTGGGAAGTCTCCCACATGTAGATACTGGTACCATTGCAACAAATTCTTCTGATCTTTTTCCTTTAATGAACAACTACATAAAAATGAGAAGTATGTTTCTTTCAATCAGCCAATGAACAGATATGCACCCTCCTCCAAAGCCTGCAAGTGCCTGTGCCCTTAAAGGCATAGTGGGACCACAGCCTACCCTTAGAATGAAAGTACATAGTGTATGTCCACCCAGTGCCCAGAAAAGTACATACGGATGTACACCCACCTTAGTGGTTACTCTACACTTGCTCCATTCGGAGATAGCACCACAATCACATACCAAGTTCCGTAAAAGATCTTTCTTGGGTAGTTAGCACAGGTTGTAACTCCACCTCTTTACCCTCACCACCCATTTCACAACTTCAAAATTCAGCCTCAGGATTGACAAATTATTGCCACAACAGTAAGTTTCTGAATGGATATCAGGGTTGAGAATGTCTCTGACTAAATGCATTATGCATTGGGTGTTTGGCACATTTTGTTTACCGCCAAACAAATGTGTGACAGGTTGCATGCAAATCAAGTGAATGTCACAAGGTGGAATTTCGTTAAATTGGCAAAAATTAGATATCATGGACCCCCTACTGACCTCAAACATTTCTAACATTCATTCTGAGACATCTGTTTATCTCTCCTGTTAGCAATTATACTATTACACAACACATAATGCAATAAATTGTGTGTATAGTCACTACAAACATCACAGTTGTAATGGAAGAATAACAAAAGGTACTGTTCTGTATGTACAGATGGTTTTCTGTACATCACTAACTACTAGAATGCTATTGATTTGCCAATTAAAAACATCCTTATATGTTCAAATGATATAGGATATTTCACCTATTAAGATAAGATTTTCATTTCATTCCTTGATACAAAAATATCAGAACATGCCAGCAAAAATACATCAATGACAAAGATAATCACTGAAACTTTGATGAAGAGACCTTAGGACCCACAAGTATCTTATTTAAATAACAAAGCAATACTGTGAATAATTAGTCAATAATAATTTTCAGATAAGTTGCACGAGAAAGAAAGAGAAAATCCCTGTACTAACATTGTATGAAATTTATATTACATATTTTTACTGTGTTCCTTCTACAGCATAAACATTGTTTAATACTTCTCTTCAACAAAGGCATAGATTAAAAGGTATTCTGGCTAAACCAAAATAAACACATCTAAATATATCTGTTCAACACTTTTTTTTAACAAAAAACAAAGACACTCTTTGCATGGAAATACACATATTTCTAGTCAAAACAATGCAGCAAATGTGTAAACGATCATGAATGTATCTGTTATCTACGGCAAATATTTTTAGACAATATATTTGAGAAAATGATTAACAAGAAATACAATGTAGCAATAATGAATGTGTGATTAGTAATTAAGTCTAAATGAATAGCGTGATTTTCTGTAGACTTCATTCATCATGAATTGTTAGAGGGAAAGCAAAATTGAACTTTTTATTTTGTTAAACACACAAAATATAGCTCTTCAATTTTTTGATGACAAAAAGTAATTTACAAGGTTTTTACTAAAAGTCATTTATTCAGCTGCTTGGCTGAAAATCTTAACAAAAATCAATTCACATGCCAAATTTAAAAGAAAATGCATTCCAATAACTTCTGAAGGGTGAAGAAACAATTTCTCCATATTTTCATTTAAATCATGTAAATGACAATGTTGGCAAAGCATTTTCTATCTCTCATGCTGCTCCAGCATACAACTTTTTGCAGACAGATCATTTGATACAATAAAACGTTTAGATTTTAAAAATCATGAAAAAATGTTTATACAAGAATTAAAACAAAAATTAAATCAAACTATACAACTTCACTTTCATGACTTTCATATGATGAAAAGCATTCACATTTCAGAAATACAAAAGATGACTTCATCCAAGAAACACAATGCTCCACAACAACCCCAAAATTCATCAACGTTGGAAACTGATCACACAAAATGATACAGTCACACAATATTTTTTATAAAACAAGCCAAAAGAAATTACTTTTTAAAGATTTAGCAAAAATAATGTGATTTACAGACAATTATTATAAGATGAAACAAATTTAACCAGGACACACAATATGAATTGTAAACTTACAAAATTCAATTACATTCAACATTCTCTTAGGAAGAACATAGGACCTTTTCCTTTTTCTAATAAAATCAAATTGAAACTGGAGAAATAAAATAAGCATTCAACACAAAAAATTATAGTTTTTTTCTCTCCCATTGTTATGTTTATCATTAAATTATAATCACATTTATCTTTGCCACCAGCAGTTCATTTTTGCAATGAAAAACAGCACTGTTTTGCATTTTTTATATAAACTTGTTTAACAATTTTTGTGATCAAATTTGAATTGATTATGTCGCTGTAAACATGTAAAATCGCAACACTGATGAGCCGATCTTGCACCATAAATGATCATGTAACCGTTTTGAGTCGATGCAATACCCAGAAACTTTGTTTATTTCTGGAATTTGACATTTATAGAATATTTCTCTCGCCCCAAATCTGAATGGGTATTTTAACCACTCAGAATTTTTCGTGTGTGTATAGCTACCCACCATACCCACATTATCCACTGGGCCTGCTTTTAAGCATGGAAAATTTGGAACGACAACCATAAAATTATTTAACTTATTTCCAGAAGACAACAAGTCACATTACTAGCAAAGTTAATGTATAAGTTCATAACCAAAAATATATAGAAGTCATTGAAATTTAATTTCACTGCCCACGCTTGCACTGAATCCCACAAACAAACCACATAAGTTTAACAAAAAACATTACAATAGTTGGAGAGGGTGGTATTCTATAATAATAATAATAATATATTAAAAAAACATACACAAGTGTTTGTCAAATATATGTACCAAGGAACTTTAAGATTTCTCACACAACCATGATTCAAAACTTTTGAAAATTCAAAGCTTGAGAAAATATATCATCTTGAATATTTCAAATTTCCAATGATGGAAACCTTTCTAAGAATTATGTTTATCAATAACTTTGATTTGATAGTAGCAACTACTCACATATATATTAGCAATATTTGCACCCCTTGGTATCAGTTGACTAGTAATAAGGGCAGCACTAGGATGATATACTTATGTAGCACAGTTTTCTGTTGGAAAAAAAAAACAAAACATTTTTATTAATATAGTTATCCTTGACCCACTGAATATTACAATTATATGGTTCTAAAGTTCAGGTCAGAGTGATAATTATTATATTGCCGATATTTTGACAATTTATTCTACCATCATCAGTGCTGGAATAATGAGTGGCCCTCGGATTTTAGGACAAATGCCTATTTAGATTCTTTTGTATGATGTGGAAAATAATTGCAGATGCTCACAAATCGTGAAAAAATAAATTTACTGAAAGCATCTAATAGTGCCTACAATGTCCTAAAACAGTGGTTTTAGGGCTATTTTAATATTTTTGTGCCTAAATCTTCCTAAAACAAATAATATCAATGAATTATTATATTTTCATTACTCATTTTACAAATTTGTTTTGCCAAAGCCCAAATACTTTACCAAATTTTATGAAACGCGAATTTCAAATCTAATATGCAATCGACTAAGTACCGAACCCTACAAGTCAACATAAAGAGGATGTTTCACGCTTGTCTCCAATCAACATGCACTTCTTAGGTAATTTCACCTGTTACCGATACAGCTTCATTGTTGACAAGTTTAGAATGAAAAAGTGTGAAAGAAAAAATGAAACTGAATAAAATAATATGCTTACAATCATTCGTATAAACTTAAAAATACTTGACATCCTGAAAAATACGTGCCTGATTTAATCCTTTTGTAACATTTTAAGAGCCTGAAATGTCACTTTTCATTCCAAATAGTGCAAAAATTTCATACACACACACACACACATATACACACACTCTCTCTCTCTTTTCTAGCTCGAAAATTTATTTAATTATGATAATGGCCAAATAAATGTCAAAACATCAGCATTTTCAATTAGATGAATCACCGTGACCTACATTCAAAATCCTAACAAATATACAGTCAAATTTTACTTATATGTTTTTCAGAGGCTGAAGGGAAAAATGTAAGAAAATTGCATAACTGAAACTGAATATTATGACCAAAACAAAACTCAATATTTTTACATTTGTGTGCCTCACTCTTCTACCTGTTTGCAAAAACTGCTACCAACGTTACTTTTGATTCATTTAGTCAAAGAACAGTGAGGGGGAAAAGTACCATCTGCACACTTTTCTAGCTCGAGAATCTATTCACAATGTTTCAAATATCAATAGCTGAATAATGAAACAAAGTTTCAAAAAATGCAAAGTTAGCAATTTTTGAAAACTCAACAATTTTGCTCCCGAGTAATAGAAAACTTATTTGCATTGGTAAGCAAACAACTTTCTTTTCTATAGCTAACAAAGTAGTAACACCGCCTAATTCTACTCTTGCCATTACTAGCAAAAAGTGACCTCAACAAAAAGTGCACAAAATGAAGTCCAGCAGGGCAGATCCAGCCGATTGTTTTGGAGGGAGCCATCATAGGTTTTGTTAAATAGTGAATATTTGTTATTATATTGTATGTTATTTTTGTAGTGTATTTATGATACTATGCCATACTTTTTACATAATTCTAACAAAAGTAAATATTTAAATAAATTTTGCCAAATAATAGGTAACAAAAAAATTCTAGGCTTGAGGGGTGGACATGCCCCCCCCCCCCGGTCCGTCATTGGCGAAACCACATATATGTTCAGAAGCAATATAAGGGCCCATCTCAGTATTTGCTGATTGCATCACGGAAACTAGACTAAAACCTGATTGAGACCAGAAACTGAAGTATATTACTTGTTACCGGTCACTGACCCTGAAGCTGACATGCATTACTTGTTACTTAGAAGGCACGCGGGCCAGGCACAGGCTCGCCGGGAGGAAAACATTGCACTGATATTTGCAGCCAGTTCTCCAAACCTGTGCCTCGCGAACGTTGCGACGATGCACGTCAGCTAACGCTGATGACGTCAGCTGTGCCGGCGCGCGTCGATGCCTGCGCAGATTAACACTGAGCTCCATACGAAAAGGCACATGAGCGCTCTTGGCGACGTGCGTTGTTGCCATCGCGCATCGCCTAGCGTGCGTCGCGCATTGTCTTGACTCACTTGCGCTCGTTTGCCGTTTCGCATAAGATACAGTGTTACTCTACGTTTCGCGCGTTCAGTGACTCGTTTACGGAGGTATCAACGCAGCCGATATCAGCGTTAGGTGACGCACATCAACGCAACGCTCATGTGACACGCGCCTAAATGTCAAATCTGTGATTCCACAAGTTTCAATATTCCCTTTAAATGCGCCGCATTTTTATCGTGTAATGTTGGTGACCCAATGTGCAAAGCCACACCGGGCGACACCTGCGCACCTACTTTTTTCCATCCTGGAGTTTTATCAAAATTTAAAAATGGAGTTGAAACAAGTAGAATCGTCTTACGTAGCGTCTAAATTAAACAACCTGATTTCTGAATTCAACACAAAAATGTCTTCGGATCCTCTATGATTACGTAAATATTCTCACTTATTGATCACTTATGTCGTAATCATTTGAACGTTATATGGCCTTAAAGGGACTTTCATTATGTTCGTACGAGCGTAAAAACGTATACACGTAAAACGTGTATCTGAAATAATTTGGCAAGGGAAGTCTACCTAACCTTCCAAAAATATAATAGAAGGTGCAAAATTGTCTCATTTTGTAGAATTCTCCTGAAGCGACCTAACTCCACCTGCCTTCCACATATTTTGCTGCAGGTTTTCCTGTATATTTCCTGCAAGCTCCACTACATCATACTTCACATGTTGTCACGTTTCACTGCATGTTCCTGGCATGTACCACATTTGATCAACTATATGTTTCCTCATGTTCATCATATGTTCCTCTGAGATGTAGGGGCATTTCTTCTGCATGTTCCCCCACAAGTTCAAGCTCACTGCATGTTCTTTAACTTATTAATATAGAAATTAAACTGGAAATTCAAAAAAATAATGTAAGTGATTTTTTTGTTGCGAAATAATTCAATAAATATCACAGCAATAACAGATAGTGAAGTGGATGAAACGAGAACTTCTGAATAGACGGAGTTCTCAACAGAGTAGGATTCCCAGAAAAGTAAACGATGGTTACAAAGATCTCCACAATGTATATCGTTTTGACTAGTTCACACTGAATACCGACTTTCAATAGCTCTGGCAACCTGTATAAGAGGTGAGGGAAATTTCTAAAAATGAAAAAGAAATGTTTATGTCTCATGTTGTAAGTGAAAAGAGTGAAAAAAACATAACTCGTGTCCCTTGAGGATTATAATATAATAATATTATAAAACCGAATTTAAACCATTAAGTGCCCCGTTTCACGTCTCCTCAGAAGCGTGCTTCTGAACGACGCGACTCGTAGCGGAGCATTGGATTGAATGTGTCTTCCCGCGTGCGGCGAGTCCCACGAGCAGCGCCGGAAGGCGTATTAAATCTGCACATTTTCTTGAGCCCCGGAATATCTACCCCCACTCCTTTCCCAACATTAGTTGCATTAAGAATAAATGATAGCAATGATTAATTGGATTGGTGAAGTAGATACCTTTTTATTATGATAAATAAATAAAGATATTGTCAGGTATCAATATTTCTCTATGAGGATGATCGCTACGCGATCGAAATGATCATAAGTTGAATTAAAATATTGATACCTGACAATATCTTTATTTATTTATCATGATAGCAATGAGAGTTGTAGACACAATCTGGTGACGGGGAATGTTCGCTCCCGTGTATTAAAAACTATTTTGCACGGAAAAATGAACACCAAATCCGACGTAAATTTCATTTTGTCAAAATAACCAAACTTCCCTCTCCTCTCGCATCTAGCTAAGCGAGGGCTCAAGAAAACGTGCGCGGATAATACACGCCACCGCTAGCAGAACATAGCTTTAAATGATTGTCGGAGCCGAATTACGTATCGCAAACGAGTATTTTGAATCATCCATCTCCCCTCTGTAACGGCTAACTACCCCCCTAATAATTACGTAAAGCTTGCGACCCCCCCCCCATTTACAAGAAGTAAAACTCAATTATAAAGCAGAAACGAGTTGTATTACTTGTATTTGTGTTATACATAAAAAATTATTATAATTAACATGAGAATTTGTTGATGGCGAGGACTGCGCATAATAAGCTTGGGGACAATTTTTTAATGAAAGAAGGATGCGTATGCGAGAACATTTCTGACGAGGCATGCACCTGTTGTCGTCGATTACGCATAGGCTCCGAGAGTTCTGCGCCAACTAATTGGATTGTGGATCAGTTTTGAATATTTTATTGGTAATCTAAAAGATTCAAGCAACACATTGATGAAAAATATTTTATTGTAACAATTTACAAAAAAAAATGCATTTGTTAATATGGTATTGTTTCAGTATAAAACTGAATAAAGGAATTATTTCAGCATATGAGGAAAGATTTTAAAAATAAATATCGCAGTGTAGCGCTGCCTCAAACCCCTCCCCTCTCTTCGGTGTCACGTATTTTATGGACGACCCCTGCTTTCCCAGTGCGCCGCCAGTCGCGGCGTTGTACCTGCCGTGGCCCCTTTGTTCGTCATCAGGAAGGGTCGGTGAAAACTACCCCTGCAGAACCCACCCCCTTCCGAGGAGGATGGCGGTGGTGGGCAGCGGTGGCGGCGCGGGACGCGCGCTGCTGTGACGACGCACGATGGTAAAGTCAATTCAAGTACTTCCCTATTCATCTGCAGTATACTTGCACGAGTTAGTGTGCACGGTATATGTGGTATGTAAAATGCAAACAAACAAAAACAATTATCTTTCCTTGGCCTATAGGGAGAATAATTCTTTATTGGTTTACAAACAGGAGTGCAATACAGTTACAATAACTAGAGGTGCTACGAAAGGACTAGCGGGCGGGGGAACAGTGACGGATGAGCGGACTGATAGACGGTCATTATGGGCAAGGACGAAGAAACGTCGGCGTAGTTATAATTTAAAAATGTCTATTTTCGAAAGTTAGTAAAATCTCACGTCTTAAAATATTTTCTCGGAAGATGGGATATTTTTTTTAGGAATTTTGTTCGTCTTGCCTTTGTATACTAATTAAACATAGTTGCGCTTCAAGGTCACGAGTTGGTCGGGGAGGGGGGGGGTAAATTTTTGGTTTCGAGCTCCCGATAGGATGACAATGCCCCCTTCTAGCAGCTCTTGACCTCAGAGTGACACTATTTTTAAATCTGAGTATGGCAATTTTAGAGGATGATAAGTTTTGGTTGTTTTTTTTTTTTAATCTTATTAGTATGAGAATAATTTAAAACCACATCTGGGCTTTCCTGAGAATTTTGAAACTTTTTATTCAATGTATGTGTGTGTGCTTTATTAATTAATTAATTTATTTATTTAAAACTTTATACACTTTAAAAGTACACTGTATGCCTGCATATAATTGCTCGGCATTTCTGCACATTTGATTACACAATCTTTGAAGAAAATGTTCAACCAGGTAATTTATTTTGTTTCAGAGTGAAATGCTACTGTATATGAAAGCTGCTGGAGAGATTTTTTAAATTTAATTGAGAGAACTACCACAATACAATATTGCATAATTAAATTATAATTAATATTAAAATAAGTAAATTCACCATAACATTAAAACTTAGTATATGGCCAAAATAAAGTCTTCAGAGCAAAGTCAAGTCTACTTGTACTTTAGTAGTCATTCCAGTTCATGTGACACTGGAAAATTGGCTGAAGTCTTGTTCATTGCACACAAACAGATGAAGAGCATTGACAACTGATTTCCAGAGTAACAACAAGATCACATTAAAGTTATACTCACATTCATTACTTCATTCTTATTAATTACTAGAGTATTGTGAGCTGGAGTTTTATGGTCATGAGTTGTGTGCTGGTTGCAAGTAAGAAATTAAAGTACTTTTTGGCCAATTTCTAGTACATTTATTAGATGTTAACTCTGGCATGAAAGGGTTCTTGAATGTCACCATAAAAATGGAGAAATCATGTATCCTGAATCACCAAGAAGCACCACCGTACACAGTACTTTCACCCACTGAAATATCAGGAACCTCACATTTACACTATGTGAAGGTGCACAAGGTTTGATGACACACTTAGACTCTAAATGTTACTAAAGTGCCGGAACTCATTTTAGACTAAATAATTAATGTTCTGCTAATATCTTCGAGTGTTTCATACAGATTCACCTCGTGGTGCTAAACAGCACATACTTTCTTGACTTAGTATTAGTTACGAAATACTCTTTATACCACAATTTCTCTCCCAATTAACACACCTCAGTCATCACTTTTTGTAAAACTCATAACAAATTCCAGAACATTAGGTGTGGGCTCCTCGATCTGCGGTCAGCAGATGCAAGGGCTTTCGTGACAATTCACATATTTGAAAGACAAGAGAGAAAGAACCATGTCCACATGGGACTCAAATCTGTGACCCTTCACACTGAGGTGCCGAGTCAGCACACACTTTAGTGATCTCAGCCATCCAGATTGGCGACAATTATAACTGGGTTTCATACAGCTGAATCATGTTCTCATGAGACATAATTCACAGAATTATAGATGATATCACACAGAATGGAATGCCATTGTTGCATTCCAATATCATATTTCCTTAAGGCTAACAATTTTTCTTTCGTATTACATTTAAATGATATTTTTAACAGAGAAAACCTAGTTGGGCTAATGTCCATAATGATATGAGGATTACTTCAAAGAAAATACATTAATATATTGAGAATGCAAATACATTCCTCACAACACAGACAAAAAATTTGGATTATCACGTAGGTCACGTATTCTTTCTAAAAGATTAATTTGTAAACTTTTAACAGAAGCACAAATGTGAGTAACTGTTTGACGCCAAATTACAAAAAACCCTCATATTTTTCAAAAATTCATGACCTTATGTGAAGATCTGTTTTCGATGAATACATTTCATTAAGAAAAAAAATTGTATCTTCACAATTGCATTTGTAGAAACAAGTTGAAAAACATATATACATACATACAGCTATATAAGCCACACGCTGATTCCAGTGTTTCTTCTGGCTTTTACTTGCCCTATGAAACACTGCTTTCGGAATCAACTTGAGGTGTGCAGTACAATTTAATATCAATATATATAATATATTACCACTGCCAGTCAAAAGGTTTTGGATTCCTGTTTAACTTGTTTGTTTTTTTCCCCATGGCGGGCTGATTCTGTAGTAGGGTCTTTGTCTCAATTTATCTTGTATAGAGATAAACATTACTTAGGGATTCTTATTTCTACCCACTCAACAGAATTCATTGATACAAAGTGTTAGGCGACTGGGAAAGTCACAGATTGCTGTCATGTTCTACGGAGTTTGGACAGTAGGTACACCATTATTTCTGGTTCATAGTGGTCAAGAATTGAAAAATCATTCGCACAAATTTGTACACTAATTCATTGATGCTATTG